ATTGACTTCCCATCAATTTTGGAGTTTAGGAGGTCCTCCAGATAATACCTTCATGTCAACCAAATGTTTATTATTCACGTGTGGCGATACTAGAATCAAGATCAGTTAATATATTTAATAACAATAACCTTTATAATATTTAGCGAAAGTTTATATTGTGTAACTATATTGGCTAAGTAACCGTTTGCCGTTAAGAGGATCTTGGAGTTTAAGTTCTCTATTTCACAACATTGGTCTGTCAATATTGTCGACTGAGACTAGTTCTAAACCAAACTTAAAATATCCAGTTCGATAGAGAACTGAATACTCTTTTGATGTAGCAAAATTAGTCTATATTTGTCTTTTAGATAAACAGCCACCAGATTTTGATTTACGAACACCATTAAAACATGGTTTCACAAATTTAGCTCAACAATTAACGGTTAGAGAAGAAGTAGATGAATTTGGACAATATGCTGAATCAAATATGACAAATTTAATAAATAAAAATTTAAATCTTATAGTAGGTGAACATGAATATTTAACATTACAAGCTTGTTATGCAGCAACTGATGTTATTAATGCACCAGAAGGTGGATTAGATATTGAATTAACAAGAAAAAACCTGGTGTCATGTAGAATCATTTATATTCCCAAATAGTGATCAAGTATTAATAAAACCCTATTAGTTACTAGTTACAGTTTGATTAGATTTAAAATAACATTAGATATTTATGTACTTATCGAAACGTTTCTTCATCACAGAAATTGTTCATGATTTAAATGGGATGCACTACTTTACACCGCTAATGAGATGATTCATACATTTATAATGACAGGTTAATTTCAATTCACGGCTATGTGGCTAAACATGCGTAGAAATTGGACGATACTGGTCTTTTCGATTAGTTTTAATGCATGTGAAAATGAAAAATTGGTAAGGTGCCTGTAATTCGAAGTTTCCATGACTTTTTCTTTTTGATATATTTATACATGGTTGGATAGAGGACACAGTTGGAGTAAGAAAAAGTTAGCTTTAAGTTTCGAAAAAAATATTTTCAGGGTGAAAGTTTTGAAAAACTTTGAAGGGACGGATTTTACATACAACTGAAAAAAATGTTAATAGAGAAACATTAGTATGGCTTGAATTATACGCATTTGATGTAGCAAAATTAGTCTATATATGTCTTTTAGATAAACAACCATCAGAAGATTTTGATTTATCTATTTGAATCGATTTTGAGTTGATTTCAATAAAAATATGCATTTTAGTTAAAAATGACCTTCCCGTTTGCCGTCTGGCACCGATAAAAATGATTTTTCTCGATAAAGAAAAGAAAAGAAAAAACTGCGGTGCATACTTTTGTGACTGATGGTATGATGAATGAAACGAGATAAAATATTTGACTTCCTCACTTAAGCACAAAAACTAGATAGGTTTACAAAAATGACCTATAAGTATTCGAATGAGCGCAAATCGCGTCTCCACCATCAAAAGACTTTTTGGGTTAAAGTCGATTTAACATCGTGTCTATAGTCATTCTTTAATGCTGAATCCGAAAAAGATATCTTCGTAAGGTCAAAAAAAGAGCAAAACGAAGAGTTAATAAAAAAGAGCAAAGAGAAAAGTTAGCATATTTTCAAAACTCACGTGTTTTCGAAAAACCAGCCCCCTTTAAGTTTTTCGACGATAAAGAATCTTTTACAAAAGTTAAAAAACACTTTTTCTTACTCAGATCACCGTGCTCTATCAAATCATATATAAAAACATGAAAAAAGTTTTTTTACTGAAAGTTCGAATTGCCGGCACCTTAACTTCTTTTTGTGATAAATTTGAACTGATTTCGACAGTCGAAATTAGAGTTTGAAGTTATTTCAAAAGCCGAATTAGTTTATATTTATTTGGAATAAATTAGTTTAAATGGATGTCAATGCCTCAAACTGATGTGAATAAATTTTCAAGAAGAAAATTAATGAAGAATGTGCTCAAAGAAAACTGTTTTACATCACTTGGGACTAGTTAATTAATTTGGATTAATTAAAACTACAAATCATTCTGAACTCTTTCTGAATAAATCGATTTAAAGTATTTTAACTACTGAAGGTCATTTATAATCCAACTCAATTGTTTTGTGTTTAATAAAAGTTGTCTGTCATTAACTGAATGTGTATACCTGATCGACATAGGAGCGACCATCTCTTAATGCGGAAAAGTCTCGCTGAAATAGAATCTGAACGAGAATCAAAAATAATGGTAAGCCACGTTTACTATTTGATTTTGATTCCGGTTCAGTTATTTTAAGGAAATTTTTTTGTAAAATCAAGCTGGAAATCGATCGCATATCATTATAACAGTATTAAAACCGTTTAAATTAGCTTCTATACTAGATTTACATCAGTTGGAGAGCTAAAAATAGTTCGAATTAATTTCAGATTGGAAAGTAGTTTAAACAAATCTGCTATTAATTGATTTAATTGAATTAGATCTCGTAATTTGATTTAGATTAATTTGACAATAGAAATTAGTTTAAATTTATTCCGTTTTTCTACAGATCCAACAACTTCAAAATCTCCAAACTTCCTGTTGAGTTTCCTAGAGATCCTTGCGTTTCTAAACAATTAAGATCTAGTTGCAAAATCAGAGCCCATCAGCCAACGTAGAATTCTTCTCTCTTCCGACCGAACCAGGTCAAAATTTTAACTGGGGTTACATCAAACAATAAAAGGATGCATCCTACAGTAAAAACTGCTTTATTAGAAATACATGAGGATTTGGAAAAACCATCCCTTATCTGCAGTGACAAGTGCATTGATAAGTGATTCGCGATCTGTTCTCTTTCGTAGGGTATTCACATATCGTCATGGGGTCATTGATCATTCTTCTTTGCGAAATGTGAACGCGATGATCTCGGGGAACTATATATCGTCGATAATACTGAAAACGAGAGATTGTTTTTTGGACACTATAGATTAATCATTGAGTGTTCTTTTTTTCGAAAACAGTGTGGATTCACATACGGTCCAGAAGTGGAAGGAAAAACATCAGCAATCACTAATGACAGAGCGAATTTATATTGAGGTAATTCACAGTCGTGATAATACTAATCTTTTCGCCTGTTTCTCACTTTCGTGCATTTTATTTTGCGATCTTACACAATCATTATTTATAACTTAGCCTATACAATATTTAGCGACTTTCTTTATAATCCGCAAAAATGTTTCTGAGAAAGATAGTTCAATTTTGCAACTGAGATGGATTTCACTCTCTTTCTTTGTGTCTCTCAAATTCTCGTGTACTCATCTCAATGTAAACCGTTCACCTTATTTAGTTCATTGTTTTAACGACAAATAAGTAAGAAAGCGCAGAATAAGATACGTACGTAGTTTTAGAAGGTCTTCGAGTTTTTCGCCATCTGCTCTCTTTTACGTATCATCATTTTCTTTTCTTTCTTATTGCTCCATAACGATTAGAATTCTAGCGTGTAAGTCTTCTTTTTCTTTTTCTGTATGTCACATATCTATATCCGAATGTAACATTAAGTAATACTGTGCTTTGGTTCTTGTTTTGAATAGATCTTGCCCCTCTTTTCTTAAATCTCTTTAACTGCTAACAGACATTTGCTAACATTTGCCAGGATGTGAAAAGATAGAGATAGTCCTTATTTCATACGGCTATACTAACAATTAAAGAGATTTAAGAAAAGAGGGGCAAGATCTATTCAAAACAAGAACCGAAACACAGTTTCATGAGAAATGAACTACTCTAGAACCGATAACTTTACACTGTAAAAAATAGTCGTAGATTAATAAACTATCAAAAAGGATTTATTGAGACCAATAAACCTTTTAAAAAACGCTTTTCCGTTTTTTATATCCAAAAAACTAAAAAGCGTTCGTGACAGATGCAAAATGAAAAACCAGCGATTTTTTATCAAAAATAAAAAACCCTTTTCAGTTTTTTGTCGAGTCTAAAATACCAGCTAAAAAACTCTTCAGTTTTTTAGCTAGTTTTTTAGAGTCCGCAAAAAACTGAAGAGTTTTTTAGCTGGTATTTTAGACTCGACAAAAAACTGAAAAGGGTTTTTGATTTTTGATAAAAAGTCGCTGGTTTTTCATTTTGCATCTGTCACGAACGCTTTTTAGTTTTTTGGATATAAAAAATGGAAAAGCGTTTTTTCAAAAGGTTTATTGGTCTGAATAAACCCTTTTTGATAGTTTATTAATCTACTACTATTTTTTACAGTGTATTGAAACAAGTAATGGTGTACAAATAAAGTGGACAGCAAACACTACTTTTTTTTTTGAAAAATTAATAATACAGTACTTTGCCACAGAAAAGATAGCTTCTGACGACTAAAAGCCATGACGTCATCGACCATGGCGGTAGGTTCATCTAACGGCCATGGTATTGAATGAGTCATATCTTGAGCGTTTAGTTATAACAGCAATCAATAGAAAAAAGGCATAGTAGGAAGACTACTGTGGAAAGTATCTATCTAAATTAAAAATGTTATAGGGAAACATTTTCGCAGAAAAATAGTGCATTACTACTTAGTTGATTGCAGAATTAGTTACTGTATAGACCAATTCAGCGTCGTCCATAGTTTACCGAGATGTGTTCGGTTGTTGGGAAATCTCCAGCTAAGATAAAAACATCTTGAAATTCTTTTGGTTGTTGGTCTTTCACTTTTATCACCGCCTGATACATTCCTTCATCCATTATAATAATTTCTTGTTTCTAAACAAAGCAGAGTGAATCCGCTTAATGAAGTACTACATTATCTTACAAAAGAAGGTCACTGCAAAGACCAGAAAAAATGGAACACTTTTCTCCCAATTTGAAAGGTTTCCTCAATCTAACTTAAAAACACTAAAGACCTCTTTTTGGACTCATCAAATTATTTTCCTTCAGATCTACACTCGTTCTAAACTCGGTAACCATTCTGGAAAAAACTATGGAAAGAGAAACGTGGTGTACACTGAGACATTTACTTGAAGTCCAGAATCGATTAGTTGCGATTTTGTGATTTTTGGAATAGCCATAGCTGCTTCTCTTGAGGTTGGTGATTCATTGATGGGAGAACAGTACGTTATTTCATGTTTTTCTTGCTTTTTGTGAATTAGATATGAGCTAAAAAAACCAGATAATAATGAAGTTAATTGTTTTTGTTCGTATGAATAATACTAAACGACACGATAACCAAACAAACAATTTTGTGTCGATAAATCGATAAATTTTTCATATTGATGATGTTGGTGTATTGTTGTCGTTGTTTGTACACTATTGTTGTGTATGGGTCATAATGTGGAATGTTGTGGTGGTGATACACTATTATAGTTGCGTTGACGTGGACGATTGATTAGTTCTGCTTTGTCATTGGTCGATTTTATATGTACTGGTGTAGAAGATGGCGGTTGTTGGTGAATATAGTTTGTTGGATTTTGTATGATTATTTGTGTCACTATATGTAAACTATCTCTTCCATGTATTGTTTCAGGACAATAATCAAAATTGTCGACTGCTTTGATACTGAAACAATTTTTTAATGCATTCGATGGTATATTGAATAACGTTGATTCTTGTTTGGCAACTTCTGTATGGAGTCGGATCAGAGTATCATAGGAGCAACAATGACCCAATTTGTTAATTGTTTCAAGCAGCTGCAATGAATTGTCATGTTTTGACAATAATTCGCCAATTAGGTAATGTTTTGGCGATATGTGTTTTGAATTTCGACAATTTAAAATGTCATACGATATTGAGCTAATTTTCTGCCATTTGTCTGAATTTGAAACAAGATCTATTTTAAATATATCGTATATTTGATCAGTTAATTTGAATTCATGAAATTGTTTTTCGTTTGTTGTCAGTAGGCCCATCATATTTCTTAACAAAAGCGGTGTGAATTCCCAGAACATATTGGGGGAAAAATATTGTAAATAATCTAACTTTTTGTTTATATGATCGAAATTTTGATACGCTGCGTCGAACGTTTGCCGTAGTAAACAAACTGATAACATTATAGTTCCAGCATCAACTGAATTGTTATTTTCCTGTAAATAGGATTGTTCTTCTGGGAATTTACTTGAAATTGACAGATCATAACTATTGTCATTCATTTTTTGTTGTTTTATTAGAATTAAAGCATATTTGTTAATATCATTGAATATAACGTATGTTCCAAATCGTTTTGATTCTGTAACAAACTTTATTTTATTTCCTAATTTGTTTTCTATCTCCTCTTTAATCGTTGCCGTTCTAAATATATGATCTGTTATTGATTCTTTTTTATTTGTTTTTATTTTTAGATATTACTCTTTGATTTCAATCATTGACAAGACTCTGTTATCTAATTCTTGTAAAATCCAAAGACATAATTGATCCATCGACGTTTGGTTGTCCGACGTGTCATTATCATTTTCTACAAGCATCGTTACTGTTCTACAACGAAGATCATATTCATTTATCGATGGGGATGGCAAAACCACACTGCTTTTCGGGCTCTGAAGCGAAAAACAAAACAACTCTTTACGAAATGATGAACAGTACCAGTAGATGCGAAATATATGTTAAATTGCTCAGTTTTATAAATTTCTAAGTTAGTTGCCTTGAACGAGCGGTTGTGTTTTATGCCCTATTCTTTTTCTGTTTCTTAGCTTTATATCAGCAGATTTTTGATTATTCTGAAAAATCAGTGTTTTAATTGATTCAAATACTTATCCATGCTTTCAGTGCTCAATTAAACGTCAATCGTTCAGTTGGCAATCTGCTGATTCCAGAAATAATATTCGCATAATTTTTGCTAGCAGTATAAAGTGAGCATTGGGCAGACTAACAAACCTTTGTTTTCTCAGAAAGTTTTGTATGTCTTTTGTGTATTTCGGACATGAATTGGCTGAAATTAGAGCTTGAAGATGTGGAAGTAGAAGCTCTGTCGCATTTTGAGAAAAATGAATATCTGTATCAATTGTTTCCTAAAAAAGACAACAAACAGTCTACTTAATCAAGCTTTTTTCCTGAATTTTTCCAAAAATCTTTAGTTACAAAGCTGATATTGGATGATGGAGCTATTTCAGAATTATATGAGATAGCTCTTTGACCATTTTTTGAATAATTTTCTGAATCTTTCTAAAAAAAGTGAATTCTTCAGTTGAATGCTTACTGCATTGAAACTATTTGAAATGTCACTTAATGGATTAGAAATCATTTTACTTCCAGAAGATGGACGAATTGATAAATTATTCTTATTGACAGTAGATAATTGTATATTTTGGCGTTGGGGCTATGAATAATGGGAGTACAATAAGTCAGAAGCTAGAAAGATTGAGTGCTAAAAGTTTACCAGAGATGTCGGTGTTGACGTATTTTCTTGATTTTCAACAAACAATGCGGATTTTTTTGTTTTATGTTGCATATCAACCTAAAATACTCGCATTATATTATAAAGTGAAACGCAGAAAGTTACCCGTATTTACAATTTCCGAACAAAATTAAACGACGAATTAAAGCTGTTAGAATTACCACAAGATTATGTTACTGCATGTATTGATGGTAAAATTTATAAGTTAAATGTGTATTTAATAGCATCATGTTCTGACAAATCTGCAGTCACGCTGCTGCAAAATGGCAACGAGCCAATCAGCCAATACGTCTGCGGTCGATGTGAAGTACGACGTCGGTATGCCTCTTCTGTTCTGTTTTTGATATAAAACCAAATAGCTTTATTTTCTATAACCGAAGCAGGCTAAGAAAGCAGTAACAATTGTTTTATGAAAAAGAATGAGCAAATTCAATTAAGATCAAATGATCGATATTTGTTAATGATGAACAATGGGCGTGGTGAACAACATTTGAATATATCAATTTATTTATCAAATTGCACGATATAGAGGATATTATGGCTTGTGTTTTTCAACATCATTAAAATATTTTGATTTCGGCTATTCACTTTTATCAGATACTCTACACAATCTTTATTATAGTTTATCGGTAAGACACTTCGGTTCTTTTGCCAATGCTACAGTGATCGCTACTCAGTTTCTCTTTTAGTCCTTATTCAGGCACGTCTTTATCCAAAATGTTTTAATTCCACAAGAACAATTCACCAACTTTAGTTATTGTTCGATAAACTGGAATTTGTTCAAGAAAAACTTGATCAAGTTAATTATCCATCTACAATCGGTTCGGCCAGTAGCTAATCTATCAGATTATAAAGCAAGCGAAATTAGAACATTTACATTATTTTGTTTTATGATAGTAAAAGACCCATTTCTTGAAGATTCATCAGTTTACCGACATTTTAAACAGTTGGTATTAGCAGTACATCTCATTGAATCAAGAGTAATTTATTCAGGGAAAATAAAATTGATGAAACATGTTGTTGATGAAATCCAAATTTATATGGCAAAAAACATGTTACACAAGCAGTACATCCACTACTGCATTTTGCCGAAACAGTGAACAATTTTGGTCATTCCTCAAACTACTCGATGTTAAATTACGAGAAAATATTAGGTATGTATTTACCAAAAATAACTTGTTTTTAGATTGTTTTAGGTTTGTTTACAGCTACTATTAAATCAACATCACTGAGAATCAAGAATTAGTATATAAATTACAATTAATAAAAAATGCCACATTTACAGCGGACTTAATTGATGATTCATCACTGGTTTATGGATTTATACAAGAAAAACTTTTATCAAAGAAAAATGTATCATTAGAGGTGAGTGGTCAATATACAACACAAAAACGAACAACAACAACATCAACTCAACGGAAAGAAAACTATTAAATATTGTTTGTAAAAAATATTTTAGTTTAGCTATTGATCACCAAATAGTATTAGATACATATTCAATCAGTTATTCAAAATCATCCGAATTCTATACGTTAGCTAAAGTTAGTTCACTATTATTTACCAGTACATATCGTAGTAAACCAAAGAATATCGACCATAGTTGCATCATGTTTTCACTAGAAATGGAAAAAGATGAAGATTATGTAACAAAATTTTCTTTTGTTTTCATATTTATTATTATTCGAGATGATGACTATAAAGCATTTATTGTTCAACCAGCAGAAACAAAAAAAGCATTCTTTAATGTTCAATAAAACAAAATATTATTTTGATAATGTTATGCATGTAGATAAACTGATACAAATACAACCTGATCAGATTGTTGAGAAACCCTCTTGTTATTGTGAGCAAAATAGTAATGATTATATATTTATCAGATATCCGAGTCTCACCAGCTCATCCTAAACTTGTTAATTCTTGTTATATATTTCTTTGTTTGTTTTGTAAAATTTTTTTATTTTCTGATGTTATTAACAATATTTTGTAGAATAAAAGAGAGAAAACGTTTCTCTTTTACAATGAAAAATGAAAAGATATAGTAAATAAGCATAATAAACTTAAGTCAACTGGTTTCAAAAAGAATAGTATGAGGCCTGAATAACGGCACGGCGGAGATAATAACATCCTGATATATCCAACGGTATCCTCATTTTAGGATCCGGCGGGATTATCCCGATCCCTATTTTTTTCCCGAACCCGATCCCAATCTCGTCGGGATCGAGATTGGGATCCCGGTTTCAATGTCACTGAGGTATTGTTCAGGATCCCAATCCCGCCGGGATCGGGACCGGGATGAACATTTTCGGGACCTAATTAACCATTTCATATCGAAATATAACATTTTTTTAAAAATCTTGTGTTCACACTTAAAAAAGTGTGTTCACACAGAGTTAAAATATTTTGA